CCCCAAAACCCCAAAACCCCAAAACCCCATGAGTATAAAGCAGCTATTATAAAGAATTAATTAATTATAATAATAAAAAAGATTTAATATATCCAAAATATTAATATAAATAGATGAAATTTAATTAATGGTATATAAATTATTTAGTAAAATGAAATACTTCTCATTAACACTTGTAGTTGCACTTTTCCTTGGATTAATCACATGCTAGCAGCACATCCCCAAGAAAATGGCACCATACATTTCAAAAAAATTAATGAAGAAGTTCGCTAATCTTCGTCCTCCTTCAGGTTTATCTTAAGTGCATTGTTTCGCTTATCCAGGTTGCTTTCCAGAAGATAAATAAAATATTTATGGCTCTATTTCTGAATTACCAAAGGTTCAACAAGAATTGATTGCACCTTTTTAAATCAACTACGGTTTAGGACCAGTTGTATATCCATTCCCGGATGTATAGATGATTGAAATCGGTGGAATTGTCGGTCCAAGACGTGGAGATTATGGACTTTCAACTTCCTATAGCAGATATCAACCAAAAGTTGAATCTTTAATGGAGGAAGTAGATGAGTTGTATGTTGACTCACCTTATTGGAATTCTAAATGGGGAATGGGCCCAGTAATTGTTTAGGAACAACCGAATGTTCAAAGAACTACTCACACTGAAAGCTATAATGATATCAATAGTATTAAGAGTCATAATCATAAAGTCAATAGCAATCACGGAAAAGACATTAAAAATAAAGCTTCAAACTCAATGAGAACTTTTAATAGCTTACCTTAGTATAATGCAGAGCGTGTAATTAATCCTGAAATAATAAAGGAAATAGAAAGAAGTTAAGTTTACTATGGATCATAACAGTGATGATTAAGATATATTTCATAATGCCTGAGCCTGCTTTCAAATGACATTTGAATTCAATTTTATCTCTTCAATTAATTACAATTATGTAATAATTCATTTGCTTTTCCTTTATCATTTTCAATCCTTGTCAAATTCTTGCATTAAGGGGTTTTGGGGTTTTGGGGTTTTGGGG